AATATTGTGTGAGTGTGGTAAGTTTTTTGAATATGATTAAATGAACTAAAAAAAACATTGGCAAAGCATATTAAGAATTAAGTGAATTGATAAATATTAAACCTAATAAATTACTGATTACAAACCAACTTTGGCTTAACACAAAAAACCTATCAAAAACATTAATTTAAAAATTTCATCTGAATTAGCTACAACGCAATAAAATCACCACCATCATTACCGAGAATAAAAGACAGACTGAGGTAGAAGAAAATAAGCAGATATCAGAAACAGAAAAGGGCTAAAAATAACTGAAACAAATGTGAGCAAATACAATGTACACCTTCAATGAGTGCGTGCACAAACATGAGAAGAATATGAATGGTGGTACTGATAAACATAACATCATTGTAAACAATCTCCTCCAGCAGTTTGTATTTATTACATTTTTATGGTTATTTACACCAATGTACCACATTATAAAAATAAAAAAATAAAACATCACTATTTAGTACATGATTATATAACTATTATATTAATGTATTTATAATATTTATACACAGTTCTTGTTACACACACGCAACACACACAACACACAAACGCAACACACACACAAACTCAAAACACATACACAAACGCAACACAAACGCAACACACACACACAACACATACAAACACACACACATATACACGCAAAAACACAAGCACATGCAATTATACAAAAAGGTACCAATTCAACATGGGATGTAATAAAATGAAGAGGATTTGAAATCTATGACTCAATTGTGAATATAAACAGAGGATGATATATCCTATTGCAACCTAGGAGCTTTAAAAATTGATTTTTATAACAAATGCTTATAAGGCAACTAAGGTAAAATTCTATTGAAAATTCTATTATGAAGTTATCAGTTTTAAAAATGGTCTACTTTGGAATATAACTTTACCAAACAGTTTGTCAACTTTACAATAAGACTCAATAAGAATTATTTAAGGAATGTAATGCTAGGATTATTTTAGGACTAACTAGCTGTAGAAACATATCCAAATCCAAATGGATTGCTCTAGATTATAATCAATAGAGCATACTAAACTACAACACAAACACAGGAAAATAAGCACACAATGAACACTGATGATGAGGACAGAACTATATTGGCCTTCATGCATCAATGAACATTATGATGGAAAAGATAGATAGATATTCAGAACACAATAAACATACCTACACACGTATTAATTATACTATTATACTATTATAGATATACTATTCACTGACTTGTTTAATAAACACTTTTACTAGCATTACATTTTTGATTATTTCAAAAATTTAATAATAGGAGTAAAATTTACAGAAGAGACAAATTTGTGTCAATATTAAATCAAAATACACACTGTTAATAAAAATAGATGAAACTATTCAAATTCAAATTTTCAAACAAACCTTAACTTAAAATGATGGCATAATCATAATTTAAGGTTTAATACTTTAATGTGAAGGAATTTAATTAAATTTTATAGGAATAACTAGGAAAAATAATTTTGCTACTTAATAATTATAGCAATTGAAGGTGGCTGTTAGAAGAAAATCGGACTTTTCACTTTTGTTTTAGCTTTGGCAACTCACAACAGAATCAAATCAAAATGAAAAACAAAAAAAAGCTACCAAAAATGTGATCAAATAATAAAATTGTTCAAAAATTTATCAATTTACAAAATCAATACCAGCGTAATATAATCATAAAATTTAAAAATTTAATAAAAAATAATTAAAGTCTCAACATTAGAAACGAAAAAACTTTGAAATTCAAATTAAACGTTTGCCAACAACAAGAACCTGCAAGCGTCCAAGATGGTAGTGACGGGTCCGACTTTATGTGGATGTCCACTTTTATTTTTTTAGGAAATGCGCTCATCGTATAACGAACTCAAAAATTACTTAAAATTAACTCTTTTAAATGACTATTTAACACTAATTTTTAGTAGGATAATCGAAAAAAATCACTTAACTGAATGGCATTATTATATATATGACATATATATACGTCGAACTTATTGTTCTATTAATGAATATTTTATCAGCAACTTAGTTTTAGAGCAGGATTAGATGCCGACAACCAGACTTCATTTGCAGACACGTTATCGAGTGATACTGAAATTTTATCCTATTTATACAACTCCTTGGATATTCCAAAATATAAACTTTGATAGTAGATAGCTCGATCACATGTTCTCTTCTCTCTCTCTCTCTCTCTCTCTCTCTCTCTCTCTCTCTCCCCACACAAACTATTTCCTATTGATTCATATAATGCGTATTAAGTACAAGGTAGGTACATATATACGTGCTTGAATGTATAATTCTTTAAGAATATCATCATATAAAATGAATGCGATAGAATGATTTAATGTCTAATAAAAAAAAAATAAAAAAAATTACCTCAGTAAGATAGATTATCCATTTTTTTCAGGATTTTTCAAATAATTTATTGCTGGTGTGAACCGAGTTGAGCAAATTATAAACTGGCTGAAGATAAGTGATTATAGAATAGATATTTAAGTTTGAATAATGAAATCGTCGTTTTTGCAGTGAATATATAAATGTGGATAAGTAAATAAAAATGAGAAGCTTAAGCGAAAAAATTATTAAACTATTTACAAACTGTTTGTTACTGAATGTTGGTAAAATATAAAATACAAAAGATACCCCATGATAACATGTACAGTAGTAACACATAAGTAGCGGTTCGTAATGTTTAAATAATTAGATTACTTTTTAATTATAATATTTTTCGTTGTAAAACATAAGATAAAATGAAAATTGTGAGAGAGTGTGCTGGAACTGATGTTTCATCGTGCATGATGCCTAACATTCGTTTTTGGTTCAAAACAAAAACAACTTAATTTTGTTTTGTCATATATATAATATATATATATATATATATGCATAAAAACATAAGAATATTTATGTATGTATTATATATATATATATATATATATATATATAACTGATTGTACTTTGGAAAATATATAAATAATGGTACAAAGATGTATATTAATATACTGCAATGTGTGTGTGTTGATGATGGAAACAACATTCAAGGTAAATAGCAAATACTCATTTACTATCAGTATCTATTTATTAACAACATAACGGATGGTTTCGTTTATACTGACAATAGTGCCATTACGCTCATTCCAAATGTTGGTTGAAAAATAACTTTTTTGATAAGTGAAATTCATACATTCCTATTTTTATTTAAGTAGATATCTCTGTCATTCATCATCAGGCAAAAAAAATCAAAAGTTGTTTTTCTTAGTTTCATAGTTCTAAGCAACTGTTATAATTGTTATTAGCAATTATTATTCTATGGTTCTAGTTATTTTTTCTTATTCAAAAATTTTAAAAATGAGTTTCATATTTTCCAAACAAATTTCATGCAGTGGCAGATCTAGACAAATTTGATAGGGGGAAGCAAAATTTTGAAATTTTATTTGACGAATGGGCCTAGAAACTAACCAAATCTTTGTTTATGTGGTCAATATTACGATCTTTTGGCTTATCACGTCAAATTTTGTTGATTTTCTATATAAGACGGCGTTTTCCCTGTATAAAAACTGAGTTTACTGACTGTTAAAAAATACAGCTCACAACAGGGAGGCAGGGCCCCTCGCCTCCTTCCCGGATTCGCCACTGTTCACAATAGTTACCGTATATCAAAAACGTCTGGATCTCGATTACCAAATAATTATACATTTTCGTGTTCAAAAAATAAAGCACTATATGACTCTGCCAATAATTTATCAGCTTAATTCCTTATCAGCACCACACATCCCAATAGAAAATCAAACTCTTGTGTCTTTGGTAAAACATTATGATTGTTATTCTGTCGATTCAAGTTAATATATATAAAAAAACATCGTGTTTCCATTACCAAATTATAAATTTTCATGCTCGTGAAATTGAGTACAACATGAATCTAGTAAAAACTACCAGCTTAATTTACTATATTAGCGCCACATTCCAAAAATTATCGAACTAAAGAGTGAGTTCAGTATAATTATATATATTCAGTTGATTCAAGTTAGTATATATATATCAAAAACATTAAATTTTCATGATAAAATTATATATTTTCATGCTTAAGAAACTGAGTAGTAAAACACTACCAGCTTAATTCACTAATTTTCACCCATACACACTTATAAAGCTTTAAAGTATTTTTCGATAACATTAGTTTTACATCTAAATATTAAGAATATTTAAAAGAAATTAATATACATAGTCAATATTTGGCATCAAAATAACATATCTATAATGATTTTTTTGTCAACCGTTACAATTTTCATGTTTTTTTTAAATTCTAATTTCTCTTAGCTATAATATATGTTATTTCTGCATTAATATATTATCTTCTAATCAGCTTTTGACGATTTAAATTAATCGACAGCACATTTCATGCGGCACATCACTACTCTGTGAAAAGCGGAAATAAACTTTCTTTTTCTTGATCGTTGTAAAGATGATCACGCAAGTTGGTGAATCCTTCGTTTTTTCATGTATTTAGAACAACTTAAATATCTTTTGAGCCTATTTTTCATTTTACTAAAATGATTTTTCTATTTCGGCGGCGGCGATTTTTTAAATCAAACTATTTTTTTGTTCCAGCGTGCTGGTAAATAAGGTACTGCCGACATGACACGCTTATTTAACATTTTATATTAAAATTGATTTTATGGTAGTGTGTAGCTTGGCAGAATTAAGGACTAATTATTTCTTTGATAAAAATATTTAATTTAAGTTCGCCCGTCATCATGCCCTGCTACCAAATACAAATTTTATGTCAGCTATTTCAATTTCATAAATTGATTTCTAATTGGTTTGTTTCTTCATTTCATATGATGATATTTATTTTATTTTCAACTTTTTGTAATTACTGATACTGTTTCTGTGCAAATCAGTTAATTTTATCTATCTGTTATTTTTTATTTATATGAGCTTAATTTCATAATTATTTTTATTTCAGACCTTTAAGAGGTTCGTTGAGATAGGTAGAGTGGCCTACATTGCGTTCGGTCCTGACGAAGGCAAATTAGTCACCATTGTTGATGTCATCGATCAGAACAGGGTTAAGTATCTTTTTGAATTTTTAATATTTATTTGTGTGAGTGATTATCAAATGCATCATGTTCCTAATATGAAATATTGATGATATATGTTCCAATCTAAAGTTGTTAGGAAATTTTTTTTTTCATCAAGCTAATACTTATTGGCTATTTTGCATGAATAAATTAAAAATTTTAATGATTTAATTATCGTTTGTAAAAATAGTTTTTATTTATTTTTATCATAAGGTGAAAATATGTTAAATAATCATTCAAGTCCAATTTGTTAGGCATTTTCTTATAGCTCTATTTAGAAAAAGGTCGGTACAATTTGTAATAAAATATGGTTCCAATCCAAGCACTAGACATGCACAGATGGGTAACCATTCCCAAAACTTCTAATGCATTCTGAGAGACTCTATAGATTACAGTGTGATACAATATGTTGATTAAGATCTGATAATGCATTGTTTTTTTTAATATCATAATCTGTAATACATTAAGAATCAAATGTAGGCAGATGACATTGTAACTTTTCTTATTTTTCTATAATGTGTAGCAACTTATTAATAGAGTCGATGTAATTACTTATTACAGGCCTTGGTTGATGGACCATGCACAAGTGTTGTTCGTCAAGCCATGAATTTTAACAAATTAGAACTAACAAAGTTTGTTATTAAATTCCCACACTCGGCTAGAACTGGCGTTGTTAAGAAAGCTTGGGAGAAGGCTGACATCAACAAGCTCTGGTCTGAAACATCATGGGCCAAGAAAATTGAAGCCCAGAATAAAGTTATTTTTCAGTCTTTAAAAATATGCAATCATGTGTATAAAAATGCCTTATTTAAATGTAAATTTAATTTAAATTCCATTTTATTTCTTATATAATATTTGTTTGTTTATTAACAGAGAAAGGTAATGACTGACTTTGATCGATTCAAATTATTCAAAGCCAAACAAGCTGTAAGTTCATACTCCCATTTGTAATTGATGTTTCATCCTGTTTTTTAATTTATTGAATTTATTTTTTTGATTTTACATTGTCTGTGTTCAAGCATCTTCACTCTCATTTAGATTATCACATTATGTTTGAAGTTTTTATGTTATCTTTAAGTTGATCTGTTCATGTCTATTTATCCAATTATAATTCTGAAATTTAATTGAAAAATAGTTAGAAACAATGTTTTTTTTATATACATAATGTCCTATGATGAACCTGGCTTAGGAAGTGCCGTCAGATACATATATGATGATCGCTATTAGCTGATGGACGATTTTTACTTAACCAATACTTTGACATACTTCTTAACTGCATGGTGCCATCTTGTTGTTTGGATAGCATTCGTTTTAACAATGTAATTATAATGTTTAAATAGTTTTATACCCAGTTTGTTAATTTAGTTTGTACACATTTTACCTTGAAATTTTTAACTTCTACATGTACTTCTTATTACCTCTATTAACATTTTATTATCATTTCTTTCATGTTACAATGTGTGATTACAGCTACTCATGTGATAATTATTATGTTCCTCTTGTCGAATGTTTTATGATGAACCTGGCTTAGGAAGTGCCGTCAGATACATATATGATGATTGCTATAAGCTGATGAACATTCATTACACTTTTTAGTTGTATTTTTATTACTTTTTTTTAGAAACATATTGGCCTAATTAATTACAATATTAAAAATTTGTTTGCGTTTAATGAGTTAGTTTATCCTTATTCCTCAGTTGATATGAACATTATTTATTTTATACAGAGAAATCGCCTGGTGAGGATAGAATTTGGCAGGTTGAGGAAGCTTGCAAAGAAGGCTGCCCCAACCAAGACGAGAAAACCTAACAAGAAGGTTCACAAAATCTAAGCTGACGTTCGTTTCATGACTGACGTACTCGATGACTAAAAATTAATTTTCTCGTTTATTCTCGTGGACTTCAATAAAATGATTTCCGTTATTTTTTTCAGTGTTTCTCTTGTTAAAATTATATAAGTGAGCGTGTGTTATGAAAATTCGAATTTCGCCGTTGTGTTGATGTTTTGAAATGCGTTCTTCGAGTCCCGAAAGGAGAATGCTCCACTCCGTCTGAATTTTATTTGAGTACGAACAGGCGAGAAGGTTTTCTAGTATTTTTTTAATATTTCTCGTATGGAAGTATTGTGAAATTCGATAAGACGCTTGCAATATGCTCGATCAGTTTGTGGTGTCACATCATCGCACGCGATGAAGCACATGTCCGCCCTTTAATGTGCGACCTTCCTGACTGCAGCCGACCTTGGGTCACCTGGCCAGGTGTGCCTGTTATCTTTCTATTTTCAATTGCAGTCTAGCAGCCATTCAACCATTCATCAAATGTATTTGCTTCATGTTTTTGGTCTGCTTGCGCTCTCCTACCCACTCTTCACTTCATTCTAAAGTGAAGCATTGAAAAAGATGGCGCCATTTTTTTTCTCTAATTTCTGAAAGTTTTTATTATATATACACGAATATGTTACAGCGTGGTCGTTGAAAGCGCAAACCTGGGCTCGCAGATAACGTGCTCTTCCATCAGTGCTCACGCGCAACGTACGCACATATGCGTGTACATTCTGCGTGCACACATGGCTTCTTCCGTTAACCCACACGTGAACTCTATTTCTTCTCTTTCTGTCGTTTTCAATCAGTGAAAGAGTGGACAATGATGGATTGAATGAGGAGCAATAAAAGAATCCAAATTCAATTTAATCAATTAAAATATTCGGCGTTATTTCATAGCTGATAGGATTTTGAATTGCGTTCATTCATTGCAACATATAAAGATAGATTAGACGAGTGTCTCTTTATTTATATTCTCAACCAGCTGGTTCAACCATTATTAATGTTTTCATCGCGTTCATCATTCGCACTCTTATTGAAATTTGAATCAGTGTTGGCAAAAACTTTAAGTAAGTTTATATTAGACGATAATTCTCTGAATGTCATGCATTTCCAAAATATGTGCGATTAAATCAATTTTCAATGTATCATGCAGATGGATGCCACCGAGTTGTGATATCAAATTTCAGTGCAACGTTGAGTGATTTATTGTGTTGACTGAAATAAAACACATTTTTCAGTTTGTTGCAAGATATTTATACCTGATAGGCAACAACTTGATAACATTTTAATTACATGCAGTCAGTGTCTATCGACGTATTAAAAATATTAAAACATAAAACTGTTTTCTTTCAGTGTATGCTATATTTATTCTCTGTACAAATCAACATCAAAATGTGTACACGTCGGGTTCTTTAGATTCAAGTTTGTACGCCAACTCCAGCATATGTTCAATAGTTTACAAACATGTATAAAAATAAATACAGTAGTAGCCAAATGCATACGATGCATGCACACAAAACCGTACACACATAAACACTTTAGAGAACACCACAAACAAATCCCGCATCAAATCTATACAGCGCCAGCACTCTCACCTCTGACCTTTGCGGCTGTGGTTACCAAGACGACGGCCTGAGAGATCGATAGTTGCAATAGGTCACGCCTTCGAGGCGTGGCTTATTTTGAAAATCCCAATTCGATTGGTCGGCTTGTTACTAATGGATGCTGATGATTGACAGATGCCGACCTCAGGTCAACGAATGGAGATTCGCAGATGAAAAGAAAGAAGGAGATTGCTTATTAGATTGCGTTTTCATGTTGTTGTTGTGTTTGTTGTTGTGTTTGTTGCTGTGTTTGCTGTTGCATTTGTTGTGTTGTTGCAGTTTGTTGTTGTTATTGTGCGTTCGATGTTGATACTTGTTTACATAGTCGATATTGTTTTTACGTAGTTACCGCTGTCGATATTGCAGTGAAGAGTGTTGGTTGCAGTTGTTGATGCTGTTACTGATGCTAATGTGGTCGCCGTTTTGTCGTTGCTGCTTGCTTGTTGGTGGTCTGCTGTGGCTATGTTTGTATTATTGTATGATTGCTTTAAAGTGTGTTTTTTTAAAGAAATTGTCCCGAACATCGAACGTTCTATAGTTCATGATTTCGTTTATAATTTAAAATGTAACTGGAAAAAATTATTTAAAGCGATTTTATTTCGCATTAGCTTGGTCAGTTTGAACATGAGTTTAAAATTTTTCAACAAAATTGACAAGAATTTCTGACATCAAAAAATTTCAACATCAAATTTCATAATTCACACATATGTGTAGACAAATTAAAGTGTGTGATTTTCATCAGGAGTTTGATTGGTTCTTCAATGTGAGACTCCTGGCTGGTGATATGAAAGTTTGAATTTGCTTGAGGCTGCAATCAAAATGAAAAATCTATTTCAAACTGCACAAAAATTACTTTACTTGGGATGAAAATCGAACATGCAACAGCATTAAACAACATAATAAAAACAAAGAAAAACGCTAAAAAAAACAAACAGAATAACAAAATTATCGACAGCCTAAAATGTCCGAGAATTTAGTGAACACAGCGGGGTGCGTGCGTTTAAAATGTTTGTTTTTGTTGGCTTAAAAAATGGCGGAGGGATGAATTTCTGTGGCAATGAAGAGGGAAACAAATTTGCAGGTTGCATCGATCGAGTGCCAACAAATTTAATGACATGTCAATCAACATCATCATCCTCATCATCATCGACATCATCATTATCATTAGCATAATTATTATCATTCCGTCATTTTTTTTCACTGTCGTCATCATCATCATCTCATCATTATTATCATAGTTTTTAAGACTATCATCATTATTTCCATCATCATCATCGTCGTCGTCGTCTTCATTTTAATCGTATCTTGTCAGATCTGACGTTTGGAAAATAAATTAAAAGAAAAAAAATGGGAAAAACAAAATTTCCGAAAGATGGCCAACTCTCTCGCCCACACAAAATTTTTTCCAACGAGAAATTTATTCTAGCAACTTGAATGAATACAAATTAGGAACCAACAAAAAAACACAAAAATCGCATAGATTTTATACAAAGTTGTTTATAGAACTATACAATATATCTAAACGCATGTATACAATACACTCACAGACACACATAAACACAAACACACACATACAGAAAATTACGTGTGTGTGTGTGTTTGTGTGTGTGTGTGTGTATTTCCATATATCCTCATGCAAAAAACTAATTCATTTCCACGTGTTGTATTCAGCACAGCGTTGTATAAAGATTAACAAAAATCCACAATATCGTTTAATTAAATACCCCAAGTTAACACATACACACAAACATATATACATAGACACACATACACATAACATATACATACACACACACACACACGCATACATACATACATACATATTTACGCATACACATACAAAGCCGGTTATATACGCATTCATGCTTATTTAGAAACACAAACAAATATAAGCAGACACTCAGAAACGTCATCAGACACACACACACACACACAAATGCTCAAATGCTCACTATAAAACACTTTAACATATTACCTATATACACATGTACATTCAGAGACACACAAACACTGATGTACACACACAAACACAGATGTACACACACAAACACACAAACATAGATGCACGCACAGAGAAAAATTAAAAGAAACATTAAAGAAACTTTTAATATGGAAGCGCGGGAAGGTTAGGAATATTGCCTAAATTATTCTCGTCTGCTGTGCTGGGTGAGTTTCTCATGTAGCAAGCCGAAGACTCAATTTAATCACCTTATAAATTATTATTATCGATATTCTATGTGTTTTATGTTTTGTTGCTGTCGTTGTATTTTTGTTGTTGTTTTGTTGCGGTTGTCGGCTTGTTGCTGTGTTGTTTATAGCATGTTGTTGTTGTTGGTTTTTATTGTTGGTTCAATGTTTTGTTGTTTTGTTTTTGTTGCTATATCGTAGTTGTTGTTTGTTCTATGTTGTTGCTGCTGCTGTTGTTGTTTCTATGTTGTTGTTGTTTCTATGTTGTTGTTGTTTCTATGTTGTTTCTATGTTGTTGTTGTTGCTGCTGCTGCCGTTGATGTTGTTGCTATTGTTGTTGTCTTTGTTGTTATGTTGTTGTTGTTTCTACGCTGTTAAGTCGATTTTGTCATTGGTTTGTTGTTATTTTGTTTTGGTTTGATCGATGAACGCGTTTCATGAACGCAAACTCGTAAATATTTCCGAACGCAATTAGCATCAAAGGCCTTTTTGACAGAATATAAAAAAAATCAGATGTGAATGAAAAACAGATGCATTGTAGCATGCGAAGCCTAATTGTAAATAAACTTTTTCATCATTTTAAAAAAGAACACCAAAAAGCAGAAACACACTTTACCATATTATCTCTATAATACACTCTTAAAAATAATTAAATATAATATAATATATAATTTATTTGAATGCATATACACACATCTCTACACTACTCTCATTGCACGTTCATACATATACACGAATACTTATACACGCATACATATACACGCAGACATGTACACGCAGACTTGTACACAAACACATATTCACACACACATATATACACACACATACACACGCAGACTTGTACGTGCACACATGTACACACATACACGTACACATACATACACACGCATACATATACACGCACACATACGTACAGAGACGTCACGTGCACATATCACAGGCGTCCGATGGGCAATCTTATAACATTGAACGTTGGATGCGGGTGATTATGGCGGCGATGAATTTTGAATATTTTTATTTCACAAGAGTTTTATGCCTTTTCGTGATTGTGTACGTGTGCACATGTGTGCGTGTTTGTGTGCGCTTTTCAGCGTGGGTGTGTCCGTAATGAATGCGTTCAAATGAATAAGTTGTTTGCGCGTAGATATGCGTTTGTGCGTGAGTGAACCTATGTGTGACTGTTCGTGTGTACGTAGATGTATATGAGTGTGTGATGAGTGTGTGACGAGTGCACTGTGAGTGTGTGTGTGTTTGTAGTGTTGCTGTTGGTTACTTAACATGAACATTTCTTAATTTTACAATAAAAAGATGAAGTAAAAACGTTTGACATTTATCAATAAAATATTTCCAAAGCCAATAATTGAAACACGCCTGTTTTCAAATGTGCAGTTTACATACTGAGTGGACTGCCAATTACATTAAAGATTGGAACTTAGCGCGAGCAACGAACTGCAGTTAAAAGTTATAAAACATATTCAAACATTACTAAACATATTTACAAAGACACGTTATTTCAACAGAACATTTACAAACTCACACACATACACACACAGGTGTACAAATGCACATACACGCACACATACATACATTCCAAGATTTATAGATGTTCTAATAGGTCTTGATTTGTGAGCTGCAGTGCACACACAGAGAAATAACATTTATACGTTCGTTGCTGGTCAGTCAGTCGGCCAGCGAACGTGATGCGCGCGCGCGTGTGTGTGTGTGTATGTGTGGATTTGTCCCGAGCCAGCATTGCAGTCTTTCGTGTGTAGGCATTTGTATATGCTTGTATGTGTATGTGTATATGGATGTGTATGTATGTATGTACGTGTGCATGTATGTTTGTATGTTTTTGTTCGATGTCTTTTAGACATCATCAAATGAGATGGTCAATCGATCATGTAAAATGTTTTTCTCAATGTGTCTGAGTATGTTTATTTGTATGCGTGGATGTATGTTTATGTTTGTACGTATGCTTGGATGTATGTGTTATTATGTTCAGTGTTGTTAAAATACTCAAATGTTGACAACAACAACAAAAAAATCATAACTTTGCAGTAAAAAAATCATTGCAGTAACTTTCATGAATGTTTGCATTAGAAATAAAAGGCACAATAATACTACAATTCAACAGTAATGTTTGTTAACTTTAAGAAGCTGAATAGATGAATTATAAAACAACTTTTATGTCAAAGTAATTAAACTTTTTAAATTCTGAACACCACGCAAAAGTCTTAGAATACTGTCTAAATATTTATATTATTTTTTATAAAGTATTTTAAATACTTCCTAAGTACTGTGGGAAAGCACTTAAAGACAATTTAAGTAATTGAATACTCTAAATACTTAACAATACTGGTTATGCCGCGTTTATGATCTTGTTTAGTTTTGAACTGACATACACTAAACATACAAATGTTTTAGTGTAGGATGCGGTATTTTGGCGTATTTTTGAAAAAAACAAAATATACACCCTTGATATATTTCTACATGTGTATAATTTAGCAAAGTAAACTTTTTTTTCTCTCTGAGAACGTCAAATCCGACGAGAAACGTCAAAAGTGATTGTCACGAAGGCTGTATTCGTTTCTTCAGAAATTTGCGTTTGCTTCGAAAAGAATTTTTCCTATTTTTTTAATTTATTTCTTCTTTAGAATTTATCATTTAAAAATTTACTGTTTAATATGTTTGAAAATAATATTGAAAGATAGACAATTATTAAGACTGCTTTTTGACGATTGCTGATGCTAAATTTTGGTTGAAATAACTAAAAAAATTAAAAACTTACAAACTTACATGTATTGTACAAATGCAAGATAATTTTCCTGTATTATTATTATAGAACGTTTCATTTGAAATCAATGCCTGTTAAACATGAAAAATCTAGCTTTGTATCTACTCCTAGTTGTATGATATGTGTATGTATTTGTATCATTCATTCAAACACCGGATTTCAGACCGGATTCACTGGGTATCATACGAATTGAAATCACAAACCAGCAAATCTGTAAACAAGGTAGGATAGAACCACAAAATAAATGGAGCCTATATAGCAGGTATAAATATTTATATATAGTAGATTGATACTAACATCGATGCGAGAACTATTACGTGATTATATATTACCCCATCTACAAAAACTACATCTACCCACAACAGTCTTTTTTTTAATTGCTGTTTAAAAAAAATTGGCAATTGTAGCAACTGTTTGTAAAAAATTTTTCAAAAATTATTAAATAATTTACCTTTGTACACAAGTGACTTAGACATATATTTCCGCAAGCTCCTCACGCACACGCACACGTTCACAAGCAAAAAAATGTATGCGTGTATGTGTGTCGAAACAAAGCTTAATTACAAAACATTAATATAACCGTGCTGATGGACCTTTAGTGACCAGACTATGGACAGGACGGAAACACACAGAGTTCTTTTAATATCAGATACACATAATTGCTGGTAAACATCGGAACGTACGCGCGTGTGTACAAATATGAAAATTTACATTTAAATGAGTACAAGTTATACATACATAACTACGCGTACACGAACACACACACACGCACAATTTACACACACTCACATACACACACAAACACATACACAGAGACATAGATATGAAAGAGGCAGAACGATAATGAATGAAAGCAAGACAGCCAACCATTCGTCTTCTTGTTTGGGTGATGGATGTGACTATTGATATGTATTAACGGATACGCATACATTTGTGTGTAGTCACGCATACGCACAAATACATAGATACATTTTTCAAACAATACACGTACAGATACCTCTCTTGTGCAAAAGAACACACACGTAAGCAAGTATACATGCACAATACACATTGCATACAAATAGACACAAACGCTAACACACACCCACAAACCTACACACACACCCACACACACGCACACATACACAAACACACACACGCACACATACACACACATACACACACATAAATATATATATATATATATATATATATATATATATATTTATATAAAATGTTTCTGTAAATGATTGAAACCTATGCTTTAAACTGCAGACAGACACACGCGGTTGCATTTGATATATACGTAGCATGTATTGGCTCTATAAGACATTAAATGAACTGATAAATAAATGATATGCTAAATTTTATGCTAAATAATGATAAAAAAAACTGATGATAAATATGATAAAAAGTTATACAAAAATGATATCGGAGCGTTTATAAAAAATAATATGAAATACAGTCTTAGTTTTAATAAAAATAAAAAGTAAATCTTTGAAATTTTGATTAATATTCACTAATAAAAGCATATGGAAACCATGAAAGTTAATCATCTTTCGGTTTTGCCATCATCATCCACACAACGCAGCGTCATCATTTTCATCATCGTCCCAATCACCATATTATTTATCATCATTGTCAATGTATGTATATATATGTGTGTATACATCATGTATAATGTATGTATACATGGTGTATAATGTATGTATTGCATTTTGTATGATGCATATCTGTATACACTTTATATGATGTATGCATGTATTTGTATATATTTTGTGTAATGTATGTATGTATGTATGTATGTATGTATGTATGTATGTATGTATGTATGTATGTATGTATTTGTATATATTTTCTATAACGTATGTATGTATTTGTATATATTTTGTATAATATATGTATATATTTGTATACCTTTTGTTTAATGTATATATACTTTTTGTATAAGGTATGTATGTATTTGTATACCTTTTGTATGACATATGTATATTGTATGTTTGACTCGTCCCATCATATGCAACATTTAGTCCGATGTACGTGTTGAAATTTGTCTCAATAAATTTGCGTGGTTTAATTTTTATTTTGTTTACACGAGAAAAAATTTTCAAATAAATTGGTAATTATTAAATTAGATGATTTTTAATTTTAATAATACTATTAAAATATTTTAATTAATTAATTAATTAATTAATTAATCAACTAATCAACTAATTACTTAAAATTCTTATCAATTTTTGACAATTTTTCAGCAGTATCCGATGCGTTGGTGTGAATGAGATTCGAGAGATCTGCTGGTAAAGATTGCAATCGTGGTCCGAATTACATTACAGCGGACTACATCTAAGTTTATTCTATAAATACTTTTAATTTAGTTTTGGTTATATTGAGACGATAATTGTAACTAAAACAGCAACTGCCTGTTGATAAATAAGTTAATTGTTAGACTGTTTGCTTCAAACATTAATATAAAAACAAATAAAAAACAAATATAACAATGAATGAATGAACGGATGAGTAAATAAATGGATGAGTAAATAAATATAGAGATACAATCTCATTAGTGAAACACAATAATAAACAATAACGCCACAACAACAGAGGTAACAACGGTCAGAAGCAAAAACAATAAAAAGCAGGCAGATGGCTTTAACAGTCATCGGGAACACCTGGCCAGGTCACTCCAACTTTCAACCTTGCTATCCAACCTTGAACTCCGTCGATCCAAACATCAACTCTAACAACAACAACAACAACAACACTAACAACATCATCAACAGTAACAATCACAACAACAGCAACAACAATAATAATAGCAACAACTTTCGCCCGTTCCCCGACTTCAAATCGTCATCGGCATTCATGTCGTCGATGTCATCAACTTCAATATCGCTATCGTCAGCTTCATCTGCAATGATGTCACAATCGTCTATGGCTAGCGCGTTGAGTGAAGATTTCTTGCAACATACGTTGTTCCCATTTCACCACAACCACTTGCATTTGCAACAACAACACCAACAACAACAACAAAACTTACTGGAAGCCTCGCAGTTGTCTGGCATGACAGATCACTTGACGCATTTAAACAGCAGCCATCAACAGCAGCAGCAGCAACAACAACAGCAACAGCAGTTTGTTAGTTTAGACTCATCGTCAGATTCATTGCAACAACAAAATTTATCCACATCAGCTTTCACGACCATCGGCGATGCAACAAACAAAGAACGACAATTTTACGAAAACAACAATTGCAATAAAATCAACGACACTAAAAACAACAACAAAACGCTACTTCAAAAACCAACTTCATCAACAACAACAACATCAACATCAACCATTAGAAAAGATCCAGATTCATCAACATCCGCCGCTAGCAACAACAACAACAAACGACAGTTACCACAACCACAAATGTACCAACAACAACAACAACCGCAACAACAGCAACAATTGCAACCACTATCTTCGTCATCGTATGCGTCATCAACAACGTCACCAACATCACCGAATCCTTCGACGACAACAACACCAACGAACAACATCATTGCCGATTGCGCTGTCTGCGGGGACAAAAGTTCGGGCAAACATTACGGACAGATGACTTGTGAAGGTTGTTGCTGTTTGAGAATGACGTTGATAGTGGCGTTGTTGCTGCTGTTGTTGTTGTTCATGATGTCGCATATATATTCTGTTGATGTGATCAAAATGTGTCGTGTATTAAATGAAATAGTTGTGTCGCAATTTTTTAAAACCAGAAATTATTTTCTTATCAAAACATATCCGACCTGAAGGCTGCAAAAGTTTCTTCAAGAGGTCCGTACGCCGAAACCTGACGTACAACTGCCGGGGAAACAGAAACTGCCAGGTAGACCAGCACCACAGAAATCAATGCCAGTATTGCAGGTTATGATTGAAATGCTGACGATGGTGACGTCACGATGGCGTCGCAAAAATGATGATGTGACGTCATCGCGACGACGATGATGATGTCATGACGGTTGTCTCATGATAGTAAAATGGCGATTTTGATGATACATACTTCTGAAAAAAATATATCATGATAATTTTAATAGAAACTTTTCAGTAACGTATGTATATGATAACATGTTATATTTATAACGTTCTTATTTATAAATAAAATTTATAATTTTTATTTATTTCTAAGTAATAACTATTTTATTTTTATATTAAAATTTAAATAATTTTATAAGAATTCCAACTATTTTATAAAAATATTTTCGCGAAATTTTTTTTACCAGGTTAAAAAAGTGTTTGAAGATGGGAATGCGAAAGGAAGGTTAGATTAGTAAAGATGATTTTATTTTCTCATCTATTCATATTTTTTACAAACTTTACATCAATCACATACATTTATCTAGCTCAATTTACAGACACATTATTCTACATTACATAAATGTAAATACCAATGGTAAGTTAAACTGGAACGCTTTTTTGGTTCATTTTTCAATGTTTGTTTGATTGATTTAAAGTTGAATGCTTTAGTAGTTCTCCAGTAGCTGGTGTGGTTGTTTATATTTAAAAGTCATTTTTTTATTTTGTTATTTTTCGTTGACTGACAGCTTCAACGTTGGTTAAGTTTCACTAAGAGTACTTATTTTAACCAGTTGTCTCGAAATTTTAGAAATGTTGACAACAAAATCATAAACGACAACAAAATCATAAACGGCAACATTGAAATCAGCGACAACAACAACAACAAAACTAACAACAACAATAACAACAACAGCAACGAAAACAACAATAACCCCAACAACAACCACAACAACAACCACAACAAAACCACCACCGACAACAACATCAACAGCAAACAACATCAACGACAAATTTTTTTTACAAACAAATAAACGAATGAATAGTAAGCTGCAAAGCGCAAAGGTATAATATCTATAATAAAAATGATGCACGACAGACTGACAAGGAGTACTTGCAATGCCTCTAAATCACAAATCTGCTCTCTCGGATACGACGGCCATCACCGACCACATAGCGACGACCTCTCATCGAACGATTTATAGCATTAGGAGTTTATAATTATTGGAATAAAATCTATGATGTTGTTTTTGTATCATTGTTATTGTTGTTGTTTTGTCGTTTGTAATACTGCTGTTTACGTTTTGTTGTTTCTTGTTTTGTTGTTCAACTGTTGTTGTAGTTGTTGTTTTACTGAAAGTTGTTATTTATGTGAGGTGTAATTTTATTTTGTCTGCTTTAGCTGGCTATTTGTGGTCATTGTCTTTATATCGATTAGTTAATATACATTTTGTGTTGTTTTCTATGAAGGTACTTGTATAATTATTAATAATTATCTTAGAAATGAAGTTTTGTTTATGATAAATATGACATAATTTGTTGTGATGCCTCTAAATCACAAATCTGCTCTCTCGGATACGACGACCACCACCGACCACATAGCGACGACCTCTCATCGAACAATTGATAGCATTAGGAGTTTATAATTATTGGAATGAAACCTATAACGTTGTTTTTGTATCTTTGTTATGTTATTTTTAACAAATTTTACTGTTGAAATCAATGATTTTGTAAAAAATTTGAATAGATTTTATAACTGCGAAAAACCTGTCAGTGTTTCCAGTTAGGTTTTTTTTACAAATTCCAACAAATATTTCATACAATGTAGCCTCGGCTCAGGCAGAATCTTCCATCAACTCCATCTCACTTATGCCTCTGCTTACCTTCAATAACCACGACTCTAAGTTTTTTTTATAGCAAAGTGACAAAATCATTAAATAGTGATATTTTTGCTTTGTGCCGTATATAATATTTTTCTTTTTTTTATTTTCAGTTGCTTGTGATGATTTTAAGAGAATCATTATTTACCGCCAGTCTCCACGATTTATGATTTTTCCATTGCAATATTTCATTTCAAATTTATTTGTTGTTATATTTCATTTACGCCATGAATATTAATTTATTCCTTCTTTCCCAGCTATGTCTTCGTTGACACTTGCATTTTCATCATCATCGTCATCGTCGTCATCGTCATCGTCGTCTTCGTCATCATTACAAATGAATATTTAAAACTCCTGAAAAAGAAATAATTGGAAATGAAAAGTTGATGGTCGATAAATCAAGTGTGCATGACTCACTCTCTCTTCTCTCTCTCTCTCTCTCTCTCCTCCATTTTTTATCTTTCTCTTTTTTTACCTTCACTTTCATTCCCGAACTTTTTTTTAATTTTTCAATCTTCTATTCATTCTTTCTTTCTTTTATCGTCTTCTTTAACTTTTCGTTCTCTCTCTCTCTCTCTCTCTCTCTCTCTCTCTCTCTTTCTCTTTAGAACATTTTGTTATCTTTTTTGAATATTTATTTCACTTTTATGGTAAACAACAGGAAAATATTTAAATGAATTTTTCACAGCATAAAAATGGATTATATGTCGTAATGGAAAACATTACGGAGAATTTTTTTTAGAAATGTAGAGACCTGCTTCTCAGAAAATGTAGATGGAAACATTCGCAACTGACCACTTACTAGCCAATAATTTTTAACCGCGAAGCAAATTGCCTGTATGTTAATGTTGGAGCAAATAAACGCGGAAACTTCTAAATTTATAAGAGTAATCAAAATACTGAAAGATACTCATAAAATGGCAATACAAGCTCATAAATGCATACTGATACATTTATTCACATACATTTATACATCGTACATTCACGTTACTTCTTGCGTAGGTACGTACGTACGTACATACACTCATAAATACGCAGATAGATGCATATATAGGCATACGTAGAGGCACACATACGCAGATGAAAGAATGATGTGAGTGTGAATATATGTATTTTTGGTCGCTGAGAGATATAATGTGCAGTTAGCATCTCTCCCGCATCTCTTGCGAATGGCGCGTGTCGTAATCTTTTGCTCTCGTGTTGTTGTTGTTGTTGTTGTTGTTGCTGCTGCTGCTGTTGATGTTGCTAGTACTTTCATTTTTATGTTGTTGTTAGTCTTTTTATACGCATACAATAAAAATTATTTCAACCATATATTTTTTAATATTTTTATTTATTGTCAAAAAAATTAATGCGTACTGACAAACTGATGTATATGTAGTTATGTACACATATACATATACATATACACATACATATATACATACATACATATATATACACATATACATACATACATACACATACATACATACATACATACATACATACATACATACATACATACATACATACATACATACATACATACATACATACATACATACATACATACATACATACATACATACATACATACATACATACATACATACATACATACATACATACATATACATATACATACATACATACACACATACATACATACATACATACATACATACATACATACATATACACACACACACACACACACACACACTCATACATACATACATACATGGTAGGCGCCTGGACGGATGCACACTAATACCTTGGAGAGCCGGCAGATGTTTGGCATGGGATGTTACGGTCCCTGGCACCCTCGCCGAACGATACGTAAACATTACAAGTAAAAAATGCGGTTTGGCCGCGGCCAGGGCAGCGGACGAGAAAATGAAGAAATATGGGAACGCCCTCCCCTCGATGGAATTCTTGCCAATATGCATCGAGGTTCTTGGCCCGATGGACCCCAACACCCTTAAATTTCTTAACGAAATATGCAAAATGATCAGCGTCAGATCAGGCGACAGCAGGGAACTGTTTTTCGCAACTAACCACATTTCGTGCTTGTTGCAGCGGTTCCTGCGTGTCTGTCCCTGGCACCCTCGCCGAACGATACGTAAACCTGACAAGTAAAAAATGTGGTTTGGCCGCGGCCAGGGCAGCGGACGAGAAAATGAAGAAATATGGGAACGCCCTCCCCTCGATGGAATTCTTGCCAATATGCATCGAGGTTCTTGGCCCGATGGACTCCAACACCCTTAAATTTCTTAAGGAAATATGCAAAATGATCAGCGTCAGATCAGGCGACAGCAGGGAACTGTTTTTCGCAACTAACCACATTTCGTGCTTGTTGCAGCGGTTCCTGCGTGTCTGTGTGCTTGAAAATATCCAACTGAATGCCGACATGTGCAATTAACGACAAATCAAAGTGTTAATCCATTTGTTACTTGATGTTTGACGGTTCAGTGTCACTCATCATGTTTTGGTTTTAACATACACACATACATACATACATACATGCATACATACATGCATACATACATACATACACATACATACATACAAATAGAAACAAACACAATGTATAAATTTGTCCCTTCAAACCTACCCTCAAACCGTCTTCACGCACCATTTGTTAACCGGACATTTATGTACACCAATATTTATTTTCCTTCTTGTCTGTGTACGTATGTGTAATGTGTGTACGTGCATGTGTGTGTGTACGTGAATGTGTGTGTTTGTATACATGTATGTATAAATGTGTAAGGGTATAGAAGTATGCATATACGCATAGGCATAAGTTTATATGTTAACTTGTGTTGGTATGTGTGTTCATGTCTTTCTCTACGCATTTGTACGCATTTTGTAATGTATGTTTTCAGTTTTTGCTCGCTTTTTTCATGGAGTAAATAATTAGCAAACGGAAACTGAAAAGAACTTCGATGGGCATTTTTGTTTGTTCTCCTTTAGATACACACACAAGTCTTTTGTAAACTAGTATTAAACTGGTTAACGAAAGAGTAATCGCAGCGCCAACAACAACAACAACAACAACCAAAATTACTGGCACACACAACAACAACCAAAATTACTGGCACACAACAACAACAACCAAAATTACTGGCACACAACAACAACAACCAAAATTACTGGCACACACAACAACAACAGCAAACCTCAAATTTGATAACGATGAAACAACAGCCCCTATTGAATGCCATACTCCATCGGTCGCCAGTTCAGCACGTGTCTGTAGTATGTGGCATTCAGAGGCGGCAAAATCATTTATTAATTAATATTTGTGGTATCCTTGTTTGAAAATTTCTACATACATTCTTATTTTTACGTATGAGTATTTCTACAATCTACATACATCCTTTTGTATGTTTGTTCTCAGAAACAACAACAATAACATCTTATGTACGTGCGTATTGTACGTATGTGCGTGGTTAAACCTATTTCATGATTAACTAGTTTATTTGTGAAGGTTTTTGTTCAGATTATGTTAATGCTATTGATGATAAGTTTGGACAGTTGTGAATATATTAAGTCCATATGTTTATTTCGGTTATGCCTTTTAAGATCATGTTTATTATTATCTTCATATTTTGAGGTATTTGTTAGAATAAAAAGAAAAAATATAAATATTATGTATATGTTTTGCATGCCATATCAATTTGTTATTACAAAGTTTCAAAACTCTGATATTCAATTCAATACAAATTCTCTGCTGACATTTAACAACCAATAATGGAAATAATTTATTCAAATCAGTCACAAATTTTGGTTGAGTGTGTTTAAACAAACGAATGCACAAAAATAATACTTATAAAAAGAGATTAATATATTGAAACATTTGAGAAATGTAAGGTCAGTGATAAAATCGGCGCCTTATCATAATAGCATAACGTACTTACTATTCATTCGTCAGCCAGTATTTTTTAAAATTCTAATTTTTGACCGGAACAGCTGTACAGCGCGGTCGCTTGCCCTCGTCCGGCCAACTGCCATCATCAACTTCCTCCACGTCATCAGGTTGCTACCCCATGATGTTCAACACCCCCACCCCAGTACCCCAACCATCATCATCATCATCATCAGCAGCGTCTAGTCTTATGAATCCACTGAACAACTCGTTAGAACTTGCACCGCACCACCTACAGCATCATCATCATCACGTTCACCCTCATCCTCATCACCCCCATCATCATTCCAATGTTTATCCATCTCATCATTATCCCAGCGGTTTCATCTCCATGCTCCTCAGGTTGGGTTTTTAATGTTAATTCAGTTTACTGAACGTTCCATTAACGTTTTTGCTTTGGTATATACTTATTTATAATTTGGTATATTTATATGACACGTTACTTTAAACATTTCTGATTTGTGTCCGAGTGGGGAAAACTTTCATTGAAATATGTTGTTTGCGGTACGATCTATGTAAAAAAATATTTTCACAAAAACATGTTTCGCTCGCACGGTTGGTGCAGTTTAATTACATTACTATTATTGAAATGAAATCCATCACTCAATTCCACTCTCATCAATCCACTCCAGAGCGGAGCCGTACGCAACATCCCGCTACAACCAGCCACAACAACTGTCCGGCAGCAACATCAGCAGCAGCAACAACAGCAGCAACGGCAACAACAACATAACGGGCATCGACAACGTTTGTGAACAAGCTGCTCGTCTCCTCTTCAGCGCCGTCGAGTGGGCGAGGAACATTCCCTTCTTCCCAGATCTTCAACCCACCGACCAGGTTCTCCTTCTGCTATAAAAATGTTCTATTAATAATATTTTGATGTCAGGTAGCTACTGAAAATTAAATTTTTACATTATAGAATCAATAAAAAATTTTAAAATTTGTTTACATTTTATTTTATTCTTATATGTTTCTAAATATCTGTCCATTTTAAGTTTTACAGTTTAAATTTTCAATAAATGTGAATCAAAAGAACAGGTGAGCGCGGATTTTGCTTTAATAATCATGCAATGCAATTTAATCGATGCAGGTGTCTTTGCTGCGAGTGAGTTGGAGCGAGTTGTTCATTTTGAATGCTGCCCACTGTTCTATGCCGTTCCACGTGGCCCCTCTGTTGGCAGCTGCGGGCATCCACTCCAGCCCGGGGCAAGCAGCTAATCGCGTGGTGGCCTTCATGGACAACATCCGAACATTCCAGGAACATGTGGAAAAGTTGAAAAGTCTTCAGGTTGATTCAGCTGAGTACAGTTGCTTGAAGGCTATCGTGCTCTTCAACTCAGGTTTGTTTCATCTACACACTGTTTGTTTTTATTGGCATTTATATTTAAAACTACTTGAGATGCTGCGTATTAATGACAATGACAGTGCAAATTTTGTTATTTTAATTATTCTTTAAAATATTTAGAAAATGAATAAACAATCGAACAGAGGCGAGCGGGTTGTCCGACACGACACACATCGACAACCTGCAAGAAAGGTCTCAATGCGCCCTCGAGGAGTACGTGAGAACGCAGTACCCGAACCAACCGTCACGTTTCGGAAAACTTTTGCTACGCCTTCCTTCGTTGAGAACTGTTCCTCCGCAAGTCATAGAGCAACTCTTCTTCGTCAGACTGGTCGGCAAGACACCGATCGATACTCTCATCAAGGACATGCTGCTCAGCGGCTCCTCATTCAACTGGCCTTACATGAACATGCAATGAACGCAAGCTACAAACCTGCAGTGACTGCAAAGGATACGAAAGTATAAACATTCAAGTATTCGATGGTACGAACATGCATTGTATGAAACTGGAAAGTGTGAACATACATCGACATAATATTTAAGAAGAATATTCAACGTTATCAACTCATGGTTTTTGATATGGTGTGTGCAGCAAACGGTAAAAAGATAGGACGGTTTGTTTTTTTCTTTTATAATTTTTTTTTCAAATTTGTGTTTTTATTTCAAATGACAATAACCAAAAACAATTCGGTGGAAGAGTATGCCATGAGACTTACATAAGCAAGACTTAAACGTTTGTTAAGTTATGCTATCACGTATATTTAAAAAGTTATCTGGCATTTCACTTCATGTTTTTTGTTTTTACATTTTTAAATTGAACTGATTGAATTAAATTAAGAAATAAATAAATGATCAATTAAATGAATAAAAAAGATGATTGAATGATATTTCGTCCGATATTTATCATGTTTGGCACTCGTATAAACATCAACATTTGACTCCCAAGATATATAAGACCATTTTTTGTTATCTATTTAATTATTTTTTCATTTATTTGTTTATTTAAATAAACATTATACTGAACTTTCTACAAGCAATTTCATGTGTCGTTTGATTTGTGGTTTAATTAATTTTGAACAAATTTCATTCAAAGTTTATCAACTTTCGTCATTTACTTAATATTTGTTTAGTTAATATTTTTGTATGTTTATTTATTTTCTGACATTTATTTTCATTGTTGTCAAATTTGTCATAAAATTTATGTTGTTCGTGTACAAACACACTGAACAGAGCACTACAGCAGCATCACATCATTGTTACAACCAATTGTACATTTTTAAACATTTCAATTGTAAATTAAATGAATAAAAATTTCAAATTAAATATTAAAATTTAGCATAAATTTAAAAAAACTGAGTTATTTTTAATTGTTTCTAAAATATGCACAAATAAAAACAATCATTCACACACACACAAACACACACACACACGCACGAACAAACACACGTACAAAATGATTTTGAGATTATAACATACAGGGGCAGAAGCACGCCGATTGGTTATAATTCAAAATTTTCTGGCCAATCAGATTGCAGCTAATGTCTTCATTAAGCTGCAAGACAATTGCACCATCTGCTCACGGCTAGCTCGTATTATTTGAGCATAACGTCCACATTACGGCTATTATTTCTTGAATAAATTAATTTCATCTTTTGTCATCACAATCATGGCAAACATCATCGTCATCTTCATCGTCAACATCATGATAAACGTCATCAAAGTCATCATCAATATCACCATCAACACCATTATGATAACATTGTCACATTATCATCTTGAAAATGACATCAACATCATTACAGAAACCTTCATCATCCTGACATCAACATCACCATTGTTGCTGTCTTCGTTGTCATTAGTTTCTTCACAATATTCATCATCATTCCCATCAAGGTCATTGTCATTCTCATCCAATGTTGTTTCAGATATCTTTTTAAAAGATGACTTTTGTTATCATTTTCATATCTCGCCTTTGTTGGAATAACCCTTGCTTTCATCGTCATCTTATCTTCATTTTCTTCACCATTTCATTATCATTTTCAAACTGTTTCGACAGCTGTTTTCTTACAGTTATTAATGAAAAAGCTAATACAATGAACGAACAGAGTCACAATTTATAAAATGATACAAAATTTACACTATCTTGAAATCGACTGAGTGATAAATTAGAGCTTTCAGCTATGACATGCAAAAATTATTTCAGTAACAATAAATTCAAAGTAACCAAACCAACAACTTCATCAAAACTAAAAAATAGTCTATATAACAATGAAAGAAAAATAAAGATAAAAACAACATTAACACATCAACTAATCAGCAACCACACACGCCACACCACGCCACGCCACACCACAACAAACGCAGTCCTGTAGATATGGTGTTAAGAGAGAATATCATCAGAGCTTAATCCCTGGTTTCATACGGACCAGTGCTTGCTCTATTGCGCTTGTTAGCTTTAAAACGAACATTATCACCATCGTCAGCGTCATCATCATCGTCGTCAACATCGTCAACACCATCATCGTCTTCATCGATTTGTCATCGTAGTCGTCATGCCGTCACCATTATTCCAGTATCGGTATCTTGGTCAAAATTATTCTCCTCAAAACTTGACTGACCATATCATCAAAAACAGCTATAAAAACATTAATGACATTAGTTATTGCAGCAGTATAAACAACAATGTATATGTACGCTATTGACAGCATCAGCAGTTATGGTTACCGGGCTAACATCAACAACAAAATTAACGTCGGCAACCAAACTGGCAGCAAAAACGCCAACAACAACATGATGTTACCAGCAACAACAACAGTGATATGAAGCTAACCATAACATCAACAAATAACACGATGTTAATGGCACCAATGATAGCTTGAAATTGCCCATTAGATAATGTCACCGATGACATCAATGTCAATAGTACAGCAACGACAACGACAATGTTAATAAAATACATCCTCCTTTCTTTCGGGACAACTTTGTTTGCAGGAGCGGAGGGAAAGATGTTTTTTATGCGGCTAACAGAATAAAATGTACTAAAATAAGACTTCTGTCAGGGTCATTTGGGGTCATCTGCGTTTCCTTCTGCTGCTGCTGCAGAATGCTACTGTCCTTCTCTCTCTTTTTCTCGCTCTCTCTATCTCTCTCTTGCTCATTTTTTACTCACTCTCTTTCTTTTTCTTTTTTCTGTATCTTATTGTTTGTATGCCCAATGTGTTTTTTCTATATGCATGTTTGTATTACTGAAAGAGAAAGAGAGAGAGAGAGAGAGAGAGAGAGAGAGGGGGGGGGAAAGAGAAAAACGGAAAGGGCGGGAATTTTGATTTGATATAAGTGATGCAATGCAATACGTACGTATGATTGTGATGCGACATGATATTTTTGAATCAAATAAAATTTCATTTGATTTTATGTCATTTTTGTTATAGAAATGCTGTAAGGTGATGTGATAAATGTGATGTGATGTAATTTGATGTGATGCGGTACATGTGATGTGATATGTGATGTTAATTTGCATTCAGCAAGATCTCTTGCCTTTGTAAGCCAACTCAATCAGGAATGCGTGATCGGGTTAAGCTATGTTGTGTCGGCGAAAGTTTTGTGGACATGCAGGCTTCTACAATTGGTGCATAGTAAAAGTATGGCATTGTATAGTTTATATACTACTGTAATGTGTACAATATAGTATTGACAAAATATTTTTTTTTTTTAATTTTTTCAGTTTAATATTTTGTGATCTGTTATTTAGATGACTGTTGGTACAAATAAAATCACATTATTTCTAAAACCAATATTTTAAAACATTCCTGCCATCAACTACACCATCAAATCGAAACTCATATTGCTAGTGAGTTGCGAATTTTAAACCATTTCATTTCAGTAACATAATTAAAACTTCAAAACTTTACAAAGGTACAACAGGGAGTTTTTTGCAGTACAAAGTTTCACATAAATTTTTAGTAGTATTGAAAAAAGTGATTATTTTTTTAATAAATTCAGTTTTAAAATTAAAAAAGACATTATTTAATACAAATGAAATTTATCAGACAAACTTAGTTATTAATGTATATGTATAACTTGTATTAGATGTTGTTGTTGTTTGTATAATCTACCTGTTGTTGTTTTGTTTAAATGTTGTTGTTTATTATTCATTGTCGTTTGGTTCGGATGTACCAAATGTTGTACAGCACTTTACATGTATTTATTAAAAGGAGTTCAATTCTCGTGTGACGTTTTGAAAAAAAGGTATGAATGGTACCATTTTTACAAAACCATGCACAATTATTTCTCTATTACGAAATTAATATTCATGGCTATAAACGTCTTCGTGTTTTTTAATTTATAATTGCATGAATGTTGGCTTGTTTTTATTTATTTTTGGATAAAGGAGTTTTACTTTCCTTGCTTTTGTGAAACCCAACAGCAAAGAACCAACACAGTAATTCAATTTAATGTGCTACCATTCATCTTCATATTGGGATGTTTCCCACATGCAATCTCTCACTGACAGTTTACTCAGCATCTATTAGTTTAACAGATGAAAAAATATCTATTTATTTTCCTACAATCATTTGTGTTATGTCTTTAGTAGTGCAAACATCTTCACAAAACATCTGCTGGTTGTTGTTTTCAGAGGTTTTTTGGTTTCTTTTTTGGTTGATTTTTTCTCAAAAACATGCTAACGAGTTACTAATTTTACTGCATTATTAGTAAAATTATTTGAGCTATTATCCTCAAATAAATTAAATATAACTATAATAAATTTGAATTTTTTATTATTTTTTTTAACTTGTTTGACCTGTATATTTCACAAATGTATTTTTTCATTGTATGTATATATCACCAATGTCTTTTCAATATATAGGGTATTAATATATCATTTCAACCTATTTCAATCCAACCTATTTTAATTCAGCACTCCAACACATATATATATATTATAACAATGTTTATCTTCCAATGTTTATCTTATTGTCTTTCCAATGAACATTTTCTAACTTATATCATTCCGGCGTAGATATCATTCACTCCAACGTACATCATTCCTATAAGTATCATTTCAATGTGTATCCTTTCGATGTGTATCCTTCCGATGTGTATCATCTGAAAGTGTATCATCCGAATATGTATCAACACAATGTGTATCATTCCAATGTGTATCATTCCAATGTGTATCATCCGAATGTGTATCAACCCAATGTGTACATCCCAATGTGTATCATTCCAATGTGTATCTTACTTAAAATGGCGCCAAATCTCTCGTTTTCATACTTCTGAAGAATATTGCCCCACACAAAATAACGATGACGAGAAACGAAATATCAGCAGTGACATCTGTTGGCCAGATAAATAAAAAAAAGGTACCGAGTAGATGGATGAAACACGTCAGGTTTTTAATAACATTTTCATTGTTTTAATATTAAATTGCGGATATTGCATATTGTACATTGTAAATTGGATATTGCACCTAACTACACTCACGCACACGCACATACATGCACACACACACACACACATGCCCACGCTCAGGCGTAGCCAGCTGACGTTGACTTTACCAAAAATTCTTTGCGGGTTGATGGAAATTTCATTAAATTTGGGATTTTTTTTCGGTCAGATCATATTTCATATGATAATTTTTTTGTGGTGGGAGGTGTTTAGATTGAAAAGCATGGCAAATACAATGACGAGTTATAACGGCTCTGGAGCAGCGATCTTCAAGTGGTTGAATTGATCGAAGCGACGAGAAGACCCCCAAAAGGGCTATCAACAACCCCACGTGGTCAACATTTTCATTCGATTTGACAAACCGCTACCACACCACTCACTATGACCTGTTTTCACGTCCGTCTTGTAACCTGGGCACCTGGTTGAGCGAATAAAAGAATGAATGAGCGAGTGAATGAATGAATGAGTGAATGAATGAAGAAGTGAATGAGTGAACGAGGGAATGAAAGAACGAGTGAAAGACTAAATGAACGAATTTATTTACTTGTTGACTCAGGTATATTAAAACGATCTCTTAATTGTTTATCAAGAACTTTTACCTTAATCCGGCCGACATCTTTATTCACACACAGCCTGCAATTTCGATACTATTTAAACATCATTCCATATAATTATTGAAATTTTAATTACCACAAACTGGTTTTTTCAAGCCAAAAAATTTAAACCACGGAAATTGTTAAGTTACAAATGTATTTGATGTTTTTCAACTCAAAAAAAAAAATGAAAAAATAATTCAAAGTTAAAAAACATTGTACTGTAAAAGATGTAAGGAGATAACAATATATAACAACTACCCGGCAGTTGGAGATGATAAAAAATTCAAGCAAAATGAACAAAATTATATAGTAATAATATATATAAATATGCGTGTGTTTGTTTGTTTGTGTGTGCGTGTGTTTGTGAATGTGTGTGTATAAACATATACTCAAAGCTTGATTTTTAGCCTACGTACATGCACGCACGTATAAAAGCAATTTGGCGCAAGCGTCAGTCAACAAGTTGCCTAGAAATAATTTGAAACTAACACGAAAAATTTAATTTCACAAATTTTACTAAAAGTATAAATCTTGAAAGATTTTCGGTGAATGAATTTTTTTAATGTTTAATTTCATCTTGTGACTATAAATTCTCATTATCGATGATCATCCTACCTTCAAAATGAACATGGTGCTTGAATTTATGGTGAAAAATGTTTGTCTAAAAAAGTTACATCTCTTTTACACGGACATAGTATAAACTGGGAAAAGTATAAAACTGTCACACCTTACTATCTTAAAACGTTATTAATGATAATAGCGTTAAATTTCAAAAAATAAATTTCAAGATATTTTTAAGGTGGTAAATAAGCAGCGTTAATCAAGCATTTGTTTTATATATATATATATATATATATATATATATATATATATATATATATATATATATATTCGTATAGTTCAGAGCGAGCCTATTTTCTAAAATTCTGCGTTAATTCTCCAGCCACATCGCCATCATTAAAATGAAAAATATTAAAAAAAGAGCGAGGGTTCGTGAGTTTAACACAGTAATGCATTGTTGTTAACCAAAATGAGCTTCTGGATTTCTGGATTAAAATTAAGAAAAAACAAAAAATATATATATATATAATTTTATATAATAGTTAATAATAAAATATTCCACAGGTAATATCACAGGTGTAATATTTCGTCTGGAAGAAGTCGTCTGGGAAGACGAAGAAGTAGCATCGTGTGTAGTCCCAGAGGCAGGCATAGTAGGGAGTACCCTCAGAATCCCTCTTCCTTCTTACGTGGGTAGGATGTGTATCTTATTGGAGTAATAAAATTAAACTCATTAAATATTTTGCATTAAAATAATGTTAGTATTTATGATTTGGTGTATAACAATTTTGTTTCAACATTTTCTACAAACTTTACTAAAGATTAGGTTAAATTATGCAAAATTTTTTACCAGTTTGATTGTTAGTTGTTCTAGATGGAGGTTGATCGTTTGAATCATTCTGTTGACTGCTTGCATTTTTCTTGATGTCACTAATAACGGACCAGTAAGCTTTGCCAGGGGAGCACAAGTCCTGACCACTCCGACCGAGGACTGCCGTGTCTTTGATGGGAACCTTTGAGATGATTATCGTCTTCTCAGCGTCTCTGTCCTGGCGTCATGATTATTTAAAAACAAATTTAAGTTAATTCAAATTTACTAATTAAAAAATTATAAAAATAAATTAAGCAATTGTTTGAACCAAATTTTTGTTTCCATATTTACAAACTTTACAATGTTCCACTAAAATACAAAAAAAAGAGAAAAATAATTAAACGCAAGAAGACATGTTTACAGGCTCGAGGTCGTCGTATTTGCTGGTTTGCAATGAAGGAAGTTGGTCGTTGTTGAGTTCGGTGGTGACGATGGGCAAGACGATGCAGATGGAATTTGATTGGTTGTTCATCTTGTAGATGTGCAGACCCTGATTAATGATGGGAATATTTACAATTTAGAATAAATTTAGCACAAAAAATGTTCTATTTTGTAAAATTTTACATTTCTTAAAGCTTTCATATAAATTATTTATAAAATTTTAAAACATCATTGAATAAATGAACATTCGTCAGTGCTATTTATGTTACAGGCATTAAACTGCAATGGAAAAATAGTAAAAATGTTGAATCAGAAGCGCCGACTAACTCGGTTGGCATCGAGAAGCACGATGACGCGATGGCCAGTCGTTCGCTCGACGATGTCGTATTTGACGATGTTCTCCTTCGTGCCTACGCGCCTCTCTTCGAACACCTCTCGTCTGCTCTCTAAGTCCGACAATAATCTTCTCTCCTGTAAGACATGGGTATGGTTAATGCAGCTCATTATTATTATTATTATTGTTATTATTTTTTCAATCAATTTTCATAAATGTGTGTTTTTATGAATTAATAAATCCATGTTTCACACATTGCCTGTGTTGATCACTTTATATTCGAAGCAAGTCATTGCAACATCAGCAGAGCCAGCTGCCTCAACCGTTATATCATCTTTCTGCCCAATTTATAACGGGCATTTTATAGTTTTACAAATATTTTTTTTGATCTAGTAAAAACTATAAAAGAATACTAATGTAGAATTGAATAATAGAAATAAAATTGAAAATTGCACATCTAAAAAGGAATCGTGAAACTATAGAAAAAATTTTATGACGACAGAAACATATTTCAATACGAGCGTGAAAACTGAACTAACGTTCAATAGTATTTGCTCAGCGTTAAACTTGAAAAAAGCACCAATGGCAAATAGAGTTGCGGCTATGATGAAGGTGACTAAGGTGATGATGACAAATAACTTTTTTCTAGAGACTCGACAGCAAGACTTGCTGGACGCCGGTGTGTCTCTGTTTGAGGCGACATCTGCAGTGTGTGACTCTAATTTAGTGGGGTCCAGCTGAATCTGTTTGAAATTAAAAAATTGAATCCTCTTTTATTTCACATCAAATTTGATAAAAAATGTTTTTTAACAATCTTTCATAATAAATTGAATAGTAAATAAAATTTATAACAAAATTCACTAAAAAAATAAAAAACATTCACTGAAGTAACTTATTAAATAAAGGTTATTGACAACTTGGCACATCATAGCACCATTGTGGGAGCTAAAACGCCGGTAAAGTTAACCAAAAAAATAATAAGTTGAATGGCCACAATACTAACAAATGAAATTTCATAACTTTGGGCATCCTTATCGAACAATTGCTCCACTATAACAGTCATGTTGCTACTATTTCCGCGACGTCGTTGCCGTTGTTGTTGTTGTTATTTTGTTGTGGCTTCTGCCTTGTTGGTTTATTACGGTGTTTTGATTTTGTTAACTTCGTTGTTGTTACTTCTTTGCTGTTGTTAACTATTTAGAATTATACTCTTGGCTGTTACCTGTATCTGTCTGGTTTGTGACGTTGTTTCGATTGGGTTGTTGTTGTTAACTTTAATAACACAGCGTTGAGGGATTTGTCGTTGTATAATTTCATTCACGTGGTTATGCAGTTGTACCCAAAGTGCTAATCTTATGTTGCTATATAATGAATAAATTCATTCTTTAAATTTTATACTCTAAATTAATTTTTAATCCAGAGTATACTTCAACTGAGTAACTTTAACAAATTCAAGCAATTTGAAATTTCAATTCGAACTGGCAAGACAGATAACAAAATTTAAAATTTCTATTTATGATTCAGTGTTTGTTGCCTGCTCGTGTTTTGTAGTTGCGCAACGGTTGTGTGCTTTACGGTGAGTGGGTGGGTTTTGTTCGTTCGTTTGTTTTGTTGCAACATGTATAGTATGCAATGTACGTATATGTATATATATATATACAACATATAAATATTACATATTATAGATATAAAATAGATATGAATAAATAAATAAATGTGTGTGTATGTGTGTGTGTGTGTGTGCTTCCTATGAAAATGTCTGAGACACGATCTTCAGTGGGAAAGTTTGTGAAAGTAATGCACAACAATCTGAAAATGCTTGATCACGCTACTTACTGGTAGTCAGCTTATCGGTATTTGATTTCATTCACTCGTTCGTTCGTTCGTTCGTTCGTTCGTACATTCATTTATTCGTTCATTCATTCATTTTTACATTAATTTGTTCATTTATTTGTTTAACATGTTGTTAATTTATGTTTGTGTGTATTGATGTGTGTTGATAAATGTTAATGTAAGTTGATGTGTGTTGATGTATGTTGATGTGTGTTGATGTATGTTAATGTACGTTGATGTGATATCTTGAGGTAAATGTCTTTTTTAATGTCTTGTTAATGTTTCAACGACGTATTTATGTTCGTCCTGGATTGTATAGTTGAATGTTGCTATTTTATTGTCCATTGATTTACACCGATGTGTTGATGTCATTGCGAACGGCGAGCATATAAATTGCTGTTAATAAATATTCACTCATCTCACGACACACATGTTAGGGTGTATGCCAGCTAGGATAGAACGTTGTTAGTTTAGAGAAGTCGTGTTAGTCAGTATTGTTGTTGGCCGTTAAAATAAGAAAGATTCGTGGTTGTTTTTAGCCACGTTTGTTTCTGGCTACGAACTATTTTATGTGTTTTGTGGTTGATTTCGTTTTATACTCACACACAAACATACATTCACAAACATACAAACACACACACACAGACACACACACACAATGATACAAACACACACACACAATGATACAAACACACACACACACAAACATACAAACACACACACACACACACAAACATACACACACAAACACACACACACACACACCCATGCTTGAAATTACGCGCGAATCAACAATAAATGTAGAGAGAAATATCCTCACCGCCAAGTCATGTATTAATAACACACAACTTAAAAATTTCTACCAGGAAGGCTAGCTCGCTAACATCACGATCTTTTATTTTAAAGTAGCCAACGCAGTGAACAAAAGACGAAAAAAAGTCTAGCCACACAAACAGACATATACTAACTATTTCTCACTAAACATACACATCTAGAAATACACACACATACACCACACACAAACACAAATACACACACATACACACACACACACACGTATATAAATGCATACACAAGCATACAACAAAAACGATCAAACATTCATAAAATATACGCATTTTCATAATATTGAATATATATATACACATATACAATACACACATACAATGTTATTGACAATTTCCTATACAAAACCTAAAAAAACAGCATGTAACATATGTTGCACTTACAACACAAAACACAGCTAACAAGCATACACACTCTCACACACACATACATACATAGACACAGACACACACGCACACGTATTAGTTTATCTTAAAGTGCATGTGTGTATGTATGTATGTATGTGTGGAAGGCTATGGGCAATTATTTTAATTCAATAATAAACGTCTGTCTGAAAAATATCTAGAAATATATAGATGAAACATAGTTTTTAAACAAAGCTTAAATATAGCTATTTTGCTTTTTTTCAATATCATTGAAATAGGTTTGAAACCTGCGATTTTAGCTAACTTATTGTTGTTATTTTTATTTGTTATTATTGTTGTTTTTATGATTGGTGTTAGTAATGATAGAAGTTTTGATGCTGATGTTTATATTATTGTTGAAGTTATAAGTTATAACTTATGAGCTAATTGAATTCAATAAAATTCACAATTTCATTTTTAGATTTAGTGATTCTTATGCTCGTATAACATAATTATATAAATGTTTATAATTATATAGATATCACTAATTATAAAAATTTTTATGATCTTTCACTCATTTGGCGCTTAATATTATTTTCATGTAGGACCTATTCCGTCAAACCAATTTATGTAGCGCGAATTCATGCTCAAACCAATCAATCAACATCAGATTTATTTTCACTCACAATGTTATCACACAATCCTATCATCACAAACTTTATCACCACCATCATCATCATCAATCATCATCATCGTAATCATTATTATTGTCTTCTCAACTGCATTCTCACCGGTATCACATACCTCACGGACACACACACACACACACACACACACACACACACGCACACGCACACGCACACACACGCACACAGATATATATATATAACATTAATATATTGTAACTTTCCTGTATATATATATATATATATTTGTGTATATATATATATATATATATATATTTACGTAATTGTTTATATAATCCAATCATGAAATTAAAGGGTTGATTGGTTTATAAAATTTCATGAAATAATTATTATTTTTTAGTTTAACCTTGAACTTATTACAAGAAAGCGACACCCCCACACACACATACAAACAAACACACACGCACACACCTACACGCGCACATACATACAAACACACAAACACACACACATATATATATATAAACATTAGTATATACGATCGATATACAAAGCAAATAATGGAATCATGGTCATCGTTCGGTTCGTGCAAACAAACACAAAAAGGATACAGAGAATAAAAAATGTTCACCTCATGTAGCAAACTTAAATAATAATAATATTAACAACAACAATAATAAAATAATAATAGTAATAATAAAAATAACAATAATTCAAACAAAAACAACAATAATAAAAATAATAATAATAATAATTCAAACAACAATAACTATGTCTTAAAAAAAATGAACAACAAACTAGAACACGACTCTCTTTGGCGGATAAAGTGAATATGTAGTTTTCGAAGGATCATAAATTGATTGAATGATTGATTGATTGATTGGTTAACTGATTGATTGAATGACTGCTTGATTAAATGATTGCTTGAATAAATGAATGAATGATTAATTGGTTGATTGATTAATCCACAGAATGAATGATTGACTGTTTAATGTTTTCCTGATTGGTTGGCGAATGATTGATTGATTGGTTATTAATTTTTTTGAAACATGCTAAAATTAAAAAAATTGAATGAAACACATTTTTTGGGAATCAAATTGACGCAAACTAATGGCACCAAAAATTGGCGGGAATGATTTCATGAAAAAATTTGCTTGAGCAAACAGTACCTAAGTTATTAATAGTATAGTTGGTGTTAAGAGCAAATTAGATAATCCCTTTAAAACGATTTCAGTGTTTTGACACGAACTTTGTGTTGCTATGATTATATCATTATTATTATTAATAATATTATTATTTTAGTTATTATTATAATAATTGTTGTTGTTGTGGTTGTTTTTGTCGTTTTTATCAATATGTATGTTGAAAGAATTCTGCAGAAACAGGTCGGTGTTTTTTAGTCACTCCATTACAAATTTTACTCATCCACTCATCATCCCATATAATATATCGCACAAAGGACACTTAAACACACATGCACACTGAGAAAAAAAGAAAAGAGAGAAAGAGAAAGAAAAAGATAGACAGACAGAAACACAAATATAACTAAAAAATTTTGATAGTGACCAGTCACAGGATAACGTTTTTAGCCAAATATTTACTTTTTATGTAAAACAAAAACTTTGGTATGTGATATATATATATATATATATATATATGTGTGTGTGTGTGTGTGTGTGTGTGCGTGCGTGTGCGTGTGTGTTCATAAGCGAACATAAAGATCATTAATTGGAATTTTTTTACTCAACAACAAAACAGCAATACCAGCCAGCCGACATCATATTAAATAACAATAAGGCCACATATATATACATACATATATATACATTTAATATATATATATATATATATATATATATATATGAATGAAAGCAAATGCATGTATGTGTATGTGTATTTGTGTTTATGTTCTTTGTATTTTTAAATTCGTCAAATTCTTCAACCATAAAGTTCTTTTATCTTATTAAGACGTACAGACGATATTTTTATTATTGATATTATTATTATTATTTTCATCACCATTATTATTATTAAATTGTTCTATTGTTTTTTATCCTTTTGTTGATGTTGTGGTTGTTGTTGATGTTTTTGTTGCTGTTGCTGTTGTTGTTGTTGCTGTTGTTGTTGATGTTGTTGTTGATGTTATTGTTGATGTTGTTGTTGATGTTGTTGTTGTTGATGTTGTTGTTGATGTTGTTGTTGATGTTGTTGTTGATGTTGTTGCTGATGTTGTTGTTGTTGTTGATGTTGTTGTTGATGTTGTTGTTGATGTGTGGTGTTTTAACGAGCGCAAGCAATAAATAAATAAATTGTCTTATGAAAATATGTGCCATGTGTACCATAAACAAATCGTTAAATAGTTAGCAACTTGCATGCATTTGCAACGATGAAGATGATGACGACAGTAATTAGATTACATTTATAAGATGATGGTTATTAAGATGATGATGATGATTATGGTGATGATGATGGTGAAGAAGAAGAAGATGATGATGATGATGAATGAACGAGACGATGAATGAATGAGTCGATGAATGAATGAGTTGATGATGAATGCATAGTGATGACGGCGACTCAACAGTGATGCTAATTAGAAGTTTATGATGATACTGA